ACTCGCGTCCTCGCAGGTGACGTCTACTGTGGCGGCGCCCAGTGGTGCATCCTATCGCCGTTAAACTGCTCGATCCTCGGCTCCTACGTGCCATTGAAAGACACGTTTTGGAGCGTCGATGCGATCGGCGATATGACCAACTATGCCAACCCTCAGTTGTACGACACGATCAACCTCGCATCTTCAGCGCTTCAAATAGGACTCTCGAGAGCGAGAATCGCCCCGACCTCTCGCAAATGAGGCTACCGGCGTCGCTACAAAAGCTGTCGGTGCCATCTTCACTGGGACCATCGACTGCATTTGAATGCATCCTAGGGCCTTTCGATACATTCGGTGGTTGCCACTCGACCGGATCATGTCGTCGTGGCCGGCGCTGACCACCTTGTGTGACGCTTCAACCAAGTCTGCTTCGTGCCATGACCCGACTTCATGAATGTAGGACAATGACCAACTGCTCTCTCGATGCCTTACCGGGATCGTTTACGTACCCCGCCGGTCTCAAATCTCTGTACGCGACTGCCTGCATGGCGGCACCAACTGATGGACTCAATATAGGAACCTGGCCAAGAATCAACTGACGCAGATACCGCCCAACTTGCCCGCCAGCATTCGCAAATTGTACGCTGGCAGATTGCGGTATGGGTTCAAATCCTTACGGAGTAGGGTCGTGACTCAGAATGCCCTATCCAGCCTACAAGGATTGCCGCAAACAGTGATCACTCTGTCTCTCCCGTGTACAATCGATAACTTTTTTCACTGCGTCATAGAGACGCGTCCAACAACCAACTTGACAACGTTTCCAACATGAACTGGACGTCCATGACCGCCGTGTGAGCTCGACCCGAGCCACACAACGAACGGGCCCGTGGCGCACACCACATTGGCTGACGCAACTACCCGAAGCGGCCGCGATCATCGACGAGTGCTTGGACCAGTTCTTGGACTCGGTCTCGATCGGTCCGGCCGTGGCCCGCTTTTACGATAGCATGGTCAACGACATGCGCACGCGGCTCCGCCTACTGCACCGGGACCGCGTCGCCGCCGACACAGCCCCCCGACGAGAACTCGAGCGTGAGCTCACCGTCGCGCTGGCGGACCT